CGTTGACTCCGGCCTCAGATACAAATCGCAGAATGTCCTGGACCCGATCGGTGATGTGCTGCTGGTGCTTGGCTGTCACTTGCACCGTCACTTGCCCTGGACAGACACCAGAAAGAAAGTGGGTTGTGAGATGGTTGCAGGTCCTACATATGATGTGTGTTCGCAGTGTGTGTGTGTGCACCTGTGGCTTTGTCTTTGGTCACCTCCACCCAGCCGTTCTTCTTGGCTTCCATCATGGCGCCCTTGAATATGGGCTCTACCGTTCGCATCTGTCACCAGCAACACCACACAACACGCACCACCGCCCGCACACACACACGCGCGCGCACGCACACGCACACGCACACACGCACGAATCAGACAATGTGATTGAGCGTGCGCTGGGCAACGAGGTGGTCTGTACCCCGACTTCCTCGACGGTGAGCGGCGTCGGCTGGTCGCAGCCTCCGCCCACCATGCGCCAGATGCGGGCCTCGGGCGACCCCAACGCGAGGCACTCCTCGAGCGCCCGCCGCCACGCCGCTTCGTCCACCGCCGCCGCGTCCTTCTTGTTGCCCTTGGCCTTGGCCTTGCTCTGGGCCTTGCCGGCACCACCGTCGGTCGCGGCGGCAGCGGCAGCAGCGGAGGCGGGGGGGCTGCCGGCGAGGGTGTAGCGGTTGGCGTGCAGGTTCTCGCTGCGGATCTGTCCGCTCTTCTGCAGCGGAGAGAGCACTTCCTCCGCCAGTGTGCGGAACCCGATCGAGACCCCGCACCGGCGAAAGAGCGCCGCACTGTCCTCGATCACCTGCATTTCCTCGACCACTAAGTTCAACGCGGAGCCGGCAAGGGCGGTGGGGTGGGGGAGATGGCGGTGGTGGGTCGCACCTCGCACGTAGCAAGCTGGTGTAGGATGAGGGTCATCACGGCATGCGGGTCCGTAGTGAGTTCTGCGTTCGCCCCCCCCCAACCCACCCCCCAACCCACAAGCAAACAACCAAACCGCAGTGTAAGGAGGGCGTGTGCTGGCTGGCGGCAATGGTACACCGGGGGGGGACCTTTGCGACTCTCCATGTTTGGTGTCTTTCTTCAGTCAGGCAAGGTGCACAGGCAGCAGCCTGGTCACGTTGGCCCGGCTGTGGCCGCAGGAAAGAGGTGCGAAGGACCAGAACTGAATTGTCATTTTCTTTAAATTTCTTGGTGTGATGGAATGCCAAACGCACACATGGGAATTGGCGGACACATTGGGCCAATGGACGAGAAACAGAGGCCGAAAATAAAAGAGGAAAATAAAAGAGAAGCTTTTTTTTTGCTATCAGCAACTACCGACTTGGACTGACCTCACCCCCAAACTAGTTTTCAACAGAGGCAATGGCCGAGGTGCGAAGCCGCTTCTTTCTTTTGGCCAGGCACCTCCTCATCTCCTCTCTCTCCTGTTCAGCAGCTGCAGGAGAAGCATCAAGAGGAGGGGGAAGCGGGAGACAAGCATCGTATCCTGGTGAGGAACGAGACTGACGTCGACCTCACCTCGCATGACTGCTCGCTCTCGCTCCGGCTGCCCGACGGCAGCGGCCAGGGCACCAGCACCGCCCTGCCCCCGCACTCCACCGTCGACCTCACCCACCACCGGGGCTACACACTCGCCCTGGAGCGCCGCGGGTTCGTGTTCCGCGGGGCTGTGCAGGTCAGGGACGACCCTGCGCTGTGCGACCCCGATCTGGGCAAGCCACGCGTGGTGCTGGACCCGCCCGGCAGCATTTTTTATGTGATCGAGGACCCAGACAACAGGGCGGTCACCAAGGACGAGGTCGCCGCGGCACACGGGCTTATCGTGTCGTGCCTGGAGCATGGCGGCCGCGTGCCTGCACCCTTCCGCGACACCACGCCCGGTTCGTGCCGTCACTCTCGCAACACCTTGGTTGGCGCTCATCTTCACGCACGCACGCACGCACGCACTAGATTGCTGGACGTGGATTGCGGCGCATTGGGCAGGAGGGAGGACGAGGCGCAGGCTCTGCAGGCCGAGCTCCGGTCGCAGCTGGCGCGTGGCGACTTGCGACAGCCCTGGCACGCGCTGTACGACGCGCGACGCCCGGCCCTGCCCGCCGGGATGACCCACACGGCTAAGCTCGAGGAGCTCGTGAACACGCGACGCGTGGGCCTCGTGGTCTACTTCCGCGCGCTCGACCGCTTCCCCGGAGGCAATGCCGATTGGGCCGTGCTCAAGTTCAAGCTGGGCTTCGCGCCGGCACCGCCAAAGAACGAAGACGAAGAAAAGAACGAAGACGAAGAGAAGAGCGAAGCGAAGTGCGAAGACGAGAAGTGCTGGGTGAGGTGGATGGGCTACACGAACTGGGACGGCCAGGGCACGATCTCGCGCAGGTCGGTCGAGCGGGAGAAGCTGCTGGTGGCCCAGGTGCGGGCGCAACTGCTCGAGCCGCTGGCGGACCTGATCGACGCGTCGGAACAGCGCTCCGTGGAGACGGTCGTCGTCGATCGCCACCTTGAGTCCGAGGGCACCAACACCGAGTGGAGTTCTATCGAGGTGCTGGTCTACGTGCCGCCCGAGCTGGCCGACGACGTGGGCGTGACCGCGGCCGCTGACAACGCGCCAGACGACTCCTCGCTCGAGCCTTTCGCTGTGGGCGAGGCCGGCGACCAGCAGAAGCCGAAGCCGTGGCCGCTTGCGTTCAGGCTGCACCAGCGGGCCGTGCCGCACAGCAGGTCGTCATCCCAGAGGCCCACCAACGTTACAGCGGGTCGCGCCAAGGCCGTGCTCAACGGAGCCAGTTCGCTGTTCCGCGTGGGCCGCGTCAGCTCCACCCTCAGGCACTTGGAACTCGAAGAGCAAGCTCGTCTCCGCGACTTCACTGACATCTACCTGCCGCCGCTCTTCCTCCAAAGCGACGAGGCCATGCCCCTCTGCTCGTGACCATCCCCATGAATTCGTTATTGTTTATTGTTTTATTGATATCTTTTTAATGTTTTGCGTTCATTTGGGCCGCGAGAGGGGAGAGGCGGGAGCGCTGCGGGAGGAGGAGCCAGCGGTGTCGTTGTGGAGGGCGAGGAGCCGCTTGAGGACGGCACCCTGCTCGGCCAGCATGACAACCTTGGCCTCGAGGCCGGTGCACTGCTGCTGGTGTGCCTCGCGCTCGCGCACGAGCTGGTCGTTGAGCTGGTCGATGGTGGCCTGCATCTGTTGCTCCTGGGCGGCCTTGGCCTGCATCTGCTCCTGGAGCAGGTCGATCTCGTGCGCCTTGTCCTCCACCATCTGCTTCGTCACCTCCAGCACGTTGCGCATGTCGTCCAACAGCCGATGCTGCCAGCGTAACCNCACACGATGCACACACACACACACACATAACACGACACACACGACGCACGTCAACACCAAACTCAGCCCATAATAAATGAGAATGACAAGAATGCCGTACTTGGGTCTTGTCGTCGAGCACGACCCAGAGGTCTTCGTTGCTGCTGGTGGTGGCGCCGCTGCCGCTGGCTTTGAGTTCGCGGTTGCCTTTGTTCATGAACTCGCGGATGCGCCGCTCTCGATCGTTGATCAGCTGCTTGGACTCCTTGATGATCTCCTCCTTGCGCTCGAGCACCCGACGCATCTCCTCGAGCTCGGCCCGCTGCTCGTCCGCCCCGAGCCGCGCTGCTCGGCACTCCTCCTCGGTCGCGCGAAGCCTCTCCTGGGCCTCGGCGGCTGCGCGCCTCTGTTCGTCGGCGGCCCGCCGGTGCTGCGCGAGCTCGTCCTTGTCACGCTGGGCCTTGGACAGGAGCTCGCCCAGCTGCCGCTGCATCTGGGCCACCAGCGCCTTCGTCTCCTCGTGGTCCTGCGCGCTCCTCGCGCTCGCACGCAGCTCCGCAATCTCGGCCGCGTCCCTCTCGCTCTGCTGCTGCAGCGCGGCGTTGCGGGTCCGCAGCTCCTCCAGCTGCCGCTTGCTCTCCTTGTCGGCCGCGGCCGCGTCCGCGACGCGCCCCGCAGTCTCCTGGGCGTCGGCCTCGATGGGGCGGCATCGCTGGACGGCCTCGTCGGCGTCGCGCTGGAGCTCCTCAATGCGGGCCTCCTTGGCGAGGAGCAGCTTCATGAGGCCATCCATGTCCTTCTCCTTCTTCTGCTTCTCCTCCCGCAGCCCATCACGCTCCAGCTTCGCCTTCTCGCGCCGCGCACGCTGAGCATCGGCCTCCTGCCGTGCCTGCGCGAGCTCGGCCTCCGCAGCGCTCGCCCGGGCCAGCGCGGCGTCCAGCTCCTGCCGCCGGGCCTGCGCCACGTCGGCGGCGGTCTGCGAGGCCTCTGCCTCCTGCCGACGTAGCTCGTCTTCCTTCTGGCCCAGCTCTCGTCGCAGCGTCGCCAGCTCCTCGTCCAACCTGCGCCTCACCTCAACCAGCTTGCCCTCCACGCTCTCCTTCTCGCGCTGCAGTGCGATCAGGCGCTCTTCAGCCGCACGCGCGTCGGCTTCGCGCTCGCCCTGCGCGCGGGCCAGTGCGGCCTGAAGCTCGTCGATCGTCGCTCGCCGCGCCTCGTCGGTCGTCTGCGCGTCCTGTCGGGCGTCGCGCAGCTGGGCCTGCGCCTCGTCGCGCTCGCGCTTCGCCTCCTCCAGCTCGCGGGTCTTCTTGTCCACCAGCACGCCCTTGACCTTGGCCTTGTTCTGGAGCAGCGCAACCTTCTCGTCGTGCGCCTTCCGCTGTTGCGCGAGCTCGCGGTCAAAGGCCTCGCGGGCGTCCCGCTCCCGCCGCTGCTGCTGCGCGACCTGCTCGGCGAGCTGCTCCTCGCGCCGGATCGCCTCCTCCAGCCGCTGGCCGGCCTCCTGCAGCTCGCGCTTGAGCGCGCCCTCCCCCTCCTCTTGGCCAAGGCTCTCGCGCTCCCGCTCCTTCCGCACCCCGTCCAGCGTGCGCGCGAGCTTCTCCCGATCCCTGCGCGCTTCCTTGAGCTCCTCCTGGAGCCGCTCCACCTCCGCATCCCTTGCCTTGGCCCCGTCGTGCGCCCGCGCGAGCTTCTCCGTCGCGCTGCGGGCTTCCATCTCTGCCCGCAGCTCCCTGTCACGGCTCTCGCTGAGCGTCGACTGAAGGGCGGCGACGGCGGCCTCGTGCGCTTCGTTGGCCGCGCGGAGCTCGTCTGCCCCTCGCGAGGCCCGCTGTGCGGCGTCGGCCTTCTCCCGCTCGAGCTCGGCCTCGCGCAGCTTCGCATCGTCGCGCAGCTGCTCGCACTCGCGCCTCAGCGCGCCCGCCTCCTCCGTGGTCGCTCGCGCCGCCTCTCGCGCCTGCACCAGCTCGGCCTCGACCTGACTCAACCGCTCGGCTGCGCTGTCGAGCGCCTCGCGAGCGCGCTGCAGCTCCTCCCACGCCGCGTCACGCTCCGCCTGGCACGCGGCGAGCTGCGCCTCGAGGCCCGCGACCCGGGTACGCTCCTGCTCGCTGCCAGTCAACAGCTGCTGCTCGCGCTGGGTCATGTCCTCCTCGGCGCGCTGCAGTCGCCGCTGCAGGTCCTCCTTGGCGACGCCCAGGGCGGCCAGCTCATCGCCGAGTCGGCCCAGGCGGGCGTCCCTGGCCTGCACCTCTTCAGTGAGGCGTCCCATGTCGGCCTCGAGCAGAAGTCGCTCCCTGCGCAGGCGCTCCACTTCATCCCCTCGCTGCTCGCCGGCCTTCTCCTGGGCGCGCAGCCGCCTCTCGAGCTCCGCGAGCTCCGCCCGGTGCCCGTCTTCTTGCCTCTCGCCGACCAGCCCCTCGCGCCGCGGCTGCGGCTCGCCCGCCCGGGTCTGGACCTGGACTGAGACCTGCTCGGTGAGGGCGCTCAGCTGTGCGGCCATGTCGGTGGTCTTCTCCTTCCACTCGGCCTCGCGCGCCTCGAGCAGCTGCTGCCACTTCTCGCGTTCGTCCTGCCGCGCTCGCTTCTCTTTCTCGCGCTCCCGGTCCTTCTTGCTCCGCGGGACCACCTCCACCTCCTGCCCCGCCTGCGAGCGCGCGGGCGCCTCGGACGGTTGTTCGTCGGTCGCCGTCGCCGTCGGTGTGGGCAGAGCAGGGTCAGGATCATCGCTGGTCTGTGTGGGTGCGGGCGGCGCCAGCGACTCGACGGAGTAGAGGCCCAGCTCCGTCGGCAGATTGTCAAAGTCGATGTCCTTGAGGCAGATCGAGAAGTCCACCATCGACAGCGGCGCCTGGTGTGCCACAGATGGCCATCGTCGCCCAGGGAAAAGAGATCAGATTTGCTCCCAGACGACGTGTGACGGAGATGGGAGTCGGTGGGGTGGGTGGCGGGTGTAGTACCAGAAAGCCGACGAAGATGTCATAGTCCTCCTGGACCCGAAACAGCGCGTAGGGTTCGTACCTGCGTCGAGGTCGCCCATGTACGGTCAGTCCGCGCATCGCGATGGCCAATCAATTGATGGCAGAGGTGACGGTGGTGGTGAGGTACCACTTGGCGGTGATGTCGGCCCGATCGGCGATGAGCATGCGCATGTATTTCTCCAACTTCTTCTCGATCAGTGCAAACCGAATCCACGCACGGCCTCGCCCCGACGATGTGCGCACCTTTAGACGACAACGCACCAATGTCAGCAGCACAGAAGAAGAGCGGTGGACCGTTCGTGTCATGGCTTCTTCGCTCTCTGCCTGTTGGGGCCTGGAGCGAGGTCGTGCGTGCGTACTTGTGAGAGACCCAGCACGTTCTCGATGGAGTGGCTCGCCGGCCCGTGCAGTCTGCGAGATGGCATCGCGATGGCATACCACGGTGGTTGGACATCACGGCACCAGGCACTACGGAGAGATAAAGGAGAAGAAGAAGGAAGAAGAGCGTGTGTATGTGTGGAAGGGCAATGCACGCACTTGGCAATGTTTTGAATGAAGTCCCAGTAGTGCTTCGTCCTGCCCCATATTGTGTCTGTGCCAGAAGGTTGTGGATTTGAGGAGGAGGAGGAGGATGCGAGCGGAGGAAGGGCAGAGGGTTGGAATCAGCTGTGCCAACCCCCACCCCCCGAAAGAGGGAAGGAGCGGAAGTAACCTTGAAGGCCGTGGAGGAACGCCTTCTCCACGACCAGGCAAAAGCGCTCGAGCTGGGGGCTGTTGTCATCGATGCAGTTGTCGCCCTCTGTGAGAAGGCCCAAGAGCAGCTTGACCGATATGCGAAGCTCCTCACCGAGCCGCCTCCTGTAGCGCTCGTGAAAGCCGTTGTCCATCTTCTACAATGCCGCGTGCAGGCGCACCGACGGCGAATCTTCTTGTTCTGTGTACGAAATCGAAATCTCGCGGACACGTGCTAATCGAAAATCAGTTCATTTCATTCATTTATTTCAACGCGTTCAAGCCGCAGCTCGTCCACCAACGACCCCGTTGACGGACGTGTGGCACAGGTCAGCCCCAGAGAAGATGCAAACCTCACCATGCTCTATGGTGAATAATAAAAATAGCAATAAAAATAATAAACTAAAAAGGAAAGGACTGACCATACATGGAGGCACACATCTTCGGAGTGGAAGATAGACTGAAGAGGAAGAGGAGGATGAAGATGGAGAGTCGGCTCGGCCCAGTTTTGGCCAGTGCGGCCTTGCTGTTGCTGGCCCTGGTGGCGGTGGCGATGGGGGAGGGAGATCGGGCGGTCCAGGGCTACATGTACGTGGAGAGCGCGGATCTGGCCCGCTTCAGCGCGCTCGAGGACTTTGCCCTGGCGCACCCGCGACCGGCGAGGAGGAGCGACTTCGCCGCAGCTCAGACCACCAGGGAGAAGAAGCAGCAGGCGATGAAGCTTCTTCCCGAGATGATGTCCTACATGAAGCACAACACCCTGAGCTCGGACCAGGTGGCCGAACAGATCGCCCGCATGCTAGCCGATCAGCCCAAGTTCCCCTCGGCCAAGGACCAGGAGAAGAAGGTGAAGGCCAATCCCTTCGAGAGCACCTTCGCCAGGCAGTTCATCGACGCGTCGGGCACCAAGGGGGTGGGACCCAACACGGCCCGCCAGGTGAAGGGCAACGGCCGCGGGGGCCTCATCGCCATCTGGGGGCTCGAATGGGCCTACGGCGCGCACGATGTAAGCCAGGACACCGAGCAGCTGGCCTTCAACAACCGCAAGCGAAGCCTCTCCTCCAACTACCTTGGCTCTCTCGAAAACGGTACTGCTTGCCATCACCCCCCCCCTTCACGCGTCCCCCTGCCTAACCCTCACCGATCCTGTCAGAACACATCTGCGTGATCAAGGAAGTAGACGCGGCGAGCGTGTACCTTCTGCGAGGTACGCTGCAGACCCTTGGCCCTCAGAAACACCCGGAGTGGGTGTGGCTGACGTGTTGTGTTGGTGGCGACGTGTGTGCAGGAGCGGTCAACAGCACTGTGGCACACAAGGGCGACATCTGCGACTTCGCCGAGGCGTTCAACGTGATCATCGACATCCCGCTGAACTCCCGTGCGCCGATGGAGAGCGTCATGCTGTACCTCGTTGCTGCGACGGTCGATGAGTACAGTCTCATCCTTCCCGGTACCCCCACCCCTTCACAGCCGCTGGGGTGAAAGGCTCTCTTCCTCACCCGTGCTCCACCCCGTGTTCGCCCACAGAGGACCAAACGCAGAGCACCTACGAGAAGGTGTGCTTCGACTACCCATTGATGCTCTACAGCTACGTCAAGCAAAACACTGGTACGGCGCCGTGGGTCCACTACGTGTTTGCCACTAGTGACGACGCTGATGGTCCATGTGTGCGTGCGTGTGTGCAGGGTCGTTTTCCAACATGGCGCACACCTGCAACGAGCGATTCTGCTCCAGGTACCAGTGCCTTTGCGGCAGGGCGCTCTTCAACTCACAAACGGACCCGTGGAACATCGTCCCCGCCTTCTGCCCCCTTTCCACCTTCTACCCCGACTTCTTCATCGCCGAGCAGTACGGCTCCTGATATCCCGACGCTCCGCCCCAACCTACGTAACGCCGTTGCGTCTTGTTCAACGAGTGAGCGCTCTCGTGTGTTCCATCCACTCCCGCATCAACCTGGTCCACACACTTCACGTGAAGGTGATCCTCTATCCGTAAGGCAGTAGAGAGCAGGCCAAACGTTGGGTAGGGCGAGAACATAAAATTTATGGGGCGTTGCGCAAATCGGGGAGGCCTCTTCGGGTGTTGCTTGCTTGCAGCGTTGTGGGCAAGAAGAGAAGAAGAGCTTCAGAGAGGAGGAGATTTGGTTCCTTCTGAGTAGGCCAGTCGCGTAGCCCGTGGGATGCTCGCCCAGGGTCGTCGTCGTCGTCGTCGTCGTCGTTGTCGGCCTGGCATCTGGAGGAGAGGCTTCAAATTTGTGGCTGTAGTCGCGCGGCCCTAGGAGGCCGCGAGCACAGCCGAAGCGTCGTCGTCCGTCTATCGATGCTGGTCGGAAGTGGGGATGCCCCGTGGCGCTCTGGGTCCAGAGGATCCGCTTTTCCTAGTTTCGTACACGCTCGCTCGCTCGTTGTAAGGTCGCCCGTGCTGGCCGTCGAGTCGCGAGTGTAGCTGACGTGTAAAATTTCGAAGTTGTTGTATCCACAAATCTTGATGGTTGGTGTTGATGTTGGTTGGGTGGTCACCGGAGGGTCCCCACGAGAGCTCGAAGGAGGAGGAGGAAGCGGTCGGTCGATGCCGACACCTTATTTTCCTCCACGTCGTCGCCCGCGGACAGCCGGTCGCCGAGCCCCGGACGAACCGCCCGATGCCTCGAGCAGCGCAGCGCCCAAGGTGGAGCCCTCGTCGACGCTGCTGGTGCTGCTCGCCGGTGCAGAGCTGCCAAAGCCACCCGACGCCGGAGCGCCGAACGAGGCTGAGGCTCCGCCGAAGCTGGGGGCGGGGGTGGCGGCGGGAGCGCCGAACGATCCGCCGAAGGCTCCGGCCGACGACGGCTGACCGAACGGGGCAGACGAGCTGGCGGGCTGGAAGGAGCTGGTCGTCGACGAGCCGAAGGGAGACGGAGCCGTAGCCGAAGCGGGCGCGCCAAACGAGGGCGTGGGCGCGGAGAACGTGGAGGCACCGAAAGCAGCGGGGGCTGATGCTGCCGGAGCAGCACCGAATGCCGGAGCAGATGCACCGCCGAACTGCGGAATGGAAGAGCTGCTCGATCCTCCACCAAAGGCCGGAGCCGATCCCGAGGACCCGGGGAAGGACGGGGCGGAGGAGGTAGAGGCGCCAAAGGGAGTGGCGAAGCTGGACGACGCTGCTTGTCCACCCGATGTGGCTCCGCCGAAAGCTCCCGGCGTCGAGGTGGTCGCTCCAAACGCGGGCGCTAAGGCGCCAAACGAAGTGCTCGACGAGGTGGGTGCAGCACCGAAAGGAGTGCTCGACGGCGAGGACCCGAATGGAGTAGCGCTCAAGGATGGGGTGGGCGCTCCGAAGACTCCTGATGTCGCCGATCCGAACGCGGGAGTGGTGCTTGAAGGCGTGGTGGATGCCGCACCAAAGGGAGCGCTCGAGGGCGTGGGCGCTGCGCCGAAAGGCGAAGGAGCGGCAGAGGTGGCTGAAGCGCCCGTCGTCGCGCCGAACAGGGCTGTCGAGGCGGGAGCAGCACCGAAGGACGGGGTCGACGCGGTCTGGGGTGCACCGAAAGAAGGCGTCGACGAAGACCCGGGGGCTGTGGGTGTGGCCGCTGTGAAACCGCTGCCAAAGGATGTCGGCGTGGACGAGGGAGCGCCGAAAGCAGCAGGGGTAGAAGCTGGCGCGGAGAATCCCGACGAGGCCAGTGCACTAGTCGCCGCAGGTGCTGAGAAAGCTGTTGCCGAAGAAGATGACGAAGGGGGCGCAAACGACGTCAAGCCGGTAGACGGGGCGGCGGGCGGCTGCGCCGTGGTGGGGGCAGCTGGTGTAGGGGCTGCGAAGAAAGCTGTCGCCGCTGCGGGTGCGGACGGCAGAGCTGAAGGTGCGGGCGTGATGGCGGGCATAGTGAAAGCGGCTGTCGGTGGCGGCTGGACTTGCGGCGCGACGGATGCGGGTGGCGGCACAGTGGCTACGGGCACTGCGGGCGTCGAGAGCGAAAGCGAGAGAGCAGGAGAAGGCTCCGGTTTCGGCGGAGGAGGCAGAACCCCAGACAACTGCAGTCAGAGAAAGAAAGGTGATGAGCATTGCTATAAAAATGTTGCTCGTCGTTGACGTGAGGAGGAGGAGAGGGACAACAACGCGCAACGTACCGAAATTTGCCTTGGAGGCTTGTTCTGCTTGGCTTGTTGCTCCTCCTCCTCGCGTCGACGTTTCTCTTCGAGCTTCTTTTCGGCCGAGTGCGAAATGGCTTCGTACCGCTGCTCGGCCTTCGCTTCTTCGTCTTCGTCGTCGGAGAAAACGAGAGGCTTCTTTCGTTCGCCTAGCGCTCCGAACACCGGCGAGAGCTTGGTCCCCTTGGCCCTCTCCTTATCGCGCGGTGTGAGCGCCACACGGTGCCGAGGCGTGCTCTTGAGGCTCGACTTGGGTGCCGAGGCAAGCAGCGCGTCTAATGTTCGGGGAGGCGTGCTTGGTGCCTCCCTGACCTGGTGGACCGCCACTGCTGCCTGCGTGGGCGTCATGACAGCAATCTGCTGCTGCTCCTGCTGCTCATCACAGGCACACGACGGACAAATGCGCGTAAGAAACACGTCAAGGGAAGCAGAGCAAGTAGTGGTTTGGGGGGAGGGGGTACCTTGGGAGGAGGTGTAGGGCTGGTAGCCATTTCCATGGAAGCCACCTCACGCGAGGGTCGAGTTGGTGTGGCGCGCATCGTCCTGCTCTCGTAAGAGGTAGCGTCCATCTCATCGCCCAGAGAGGGATAGAGGACTGGCTGCTTATCGAGCGGCGACGCTTCCATGTCCCTTCTCTTCTTGGGCGTAAAGGTCTCCGTCTCGGAAATTCGCAGCTTGCGGTCAGGGCTGCCATTCTGGGCTTTCCGCTTGACGACCCGAGAGACGGCGGCACTGAGGAAGTGGGGCGGGAATGGGGTCAAACATTCAACACGATGTGGCCAGGAAAAAGAGTACGGAGCGGAGGAGGGGTGGGAAGAAGTATAAGTATGCACACCTTTCCCGCTGTGTCGTTGGCTTGTTTCGCTTGGTGGCTGTTTCCTCTGAAGGGGATCCCGACTTCTTTTGGTGGTGTGTGAGATCATGACAACGTGTTGTCAGCAACAAGGATGCATAAACGGCATGCCGAGCAAACGGAGAATGAAAGGAGGAGACAAGCAAGACAACGTACGGAGGGAGAAATGCGTCTCTTGGGGCGGGAGAGCGTTGTGGGCTCCACGGAGGCCATCGGGCTAGTGGCTAGGCGCTGCTTCTTCTGCGACAATCGCTGTGCTCTGCCACTGCCGTCATGCGCCCCTTCCTCCTCGATGATCAGGCGCTTCCTGTTGTGCCCTGCGTCACCTTCCTCCACCTCCATGGTGGAAGGTGAATCCTGCTGTGGGAGGGAGCTAACTCCAGAAGCGCCTGAGATAGACAGGCAAAGCGCGAAAGAAAGAATCAGATGGCATAGCCACTAGTGAATGGGTCAAGCTTGTGGAGTGATGATCACTAGTTTGAGACGGTACCTGCTTGCACGCTGCGTGTGGGCGGAGTCATAAACACGGGGCGAGCAGGGCTGCTATGTTGGGCTGAATCGGAGGAGGAGTTGATAATCGAGGAATCTCTTCCCTCCGCAGCAGAGATGCCACCACCGAAGCCAGAGGGCCTGCTCAAGAAGGCCGGGGCCTCTTCTGCTGGCATTGGCCGCTCGGAGAAGGTTCTGCGGGAGATCGGCCGAGGCGATGAGTATTCATAATCTTCCTGCGCTCGGTCAAAATGCTGGCTGCCCGGACGTGGTAGTAGAGCTCTCTCGAAGGCCATGCGTGTGTCATCTGCCGGGGGGAGGATAGGGCGCGGCAAGCAAGAATTAATCAGAACAAAAGCCAACAAATTTACCACGCCTCACAAACACATAAAAATGGTGAAAAGAAGAAGATGATGATTCGTACTGCGGAGATCAATTTCCTCAGAATGCTGGACCCGTCCGTCTTCTCTAAGCCGTCGTCGTTGTGCATTCTGCCCACCAGAAGATTCAGTTCGATTGGATGTGGGCGTGTCCGTGGATGCCGATCGAACCAAGCCAGCTCCTTTGTGCTGCTGGTGGTGGGGCCGCCTCTTGACCCCATACTAAATAGAGCACGGCAAGAGGCAGCACGAGGCAGACGAGAGCGATGCCTCCCAGAACGATGGGAGAGGGCGAGTTGTAATCCTCCACCGCCAGCCCATTTGGTTGCTCCATCTCCTGTTTGTGCTGCCTGAACGTAGAACAAAGAAACGACTTTTGGCGCCGCCAGCGGATTTCGAATTTTTCCCGCCTATTTCTTCGAACAGAAAACGCGTTTCGTTGTAACTGAGGTCACCTCCCCTCATGAGACCTCGAGTACTTTTGAGCTTGTTCTTTTTGTTTTATACAACGCTCACAAGGACAGGTCATGGTGCCGTAATGCTTACAGTGGCAGCCGCTTTGGGGCTGTGCCGCGTGGGCGAAGCGGGTGGCGGGAGCAGGACGGAAGCTTGCGCGGGCGCATCGCCAGGAGCCACCTTCGGTTGTGGGGTAGTGGCCGCATCTTCCGAGGGAACCGCGGCAGCCTTTGCGGGGGTGGCCGCTGCATCACCAACGAAACAGGCACACATGTCAGGGGCCAGTCGACTGGGGGAGTAGCTTCTTGGGGGGGGGGGCGCACCAGCTGGCAACGTCGTCGGGTCTGCCTCTGGAGCTTTCGGAGCGTTGGTGGGCAGCAAGTTCTCCGAGCTGGCGGGCTGTAAGCCCTTCATCTGGCGTATCCTAAACACTTCCCCTGGTGTGGGGTGATTGTTGTTGTGCGTGTGAGCTCTCCGACACAGGACAAAAAAAATGGAAGAAAAACGATGTGGCGACCATGGCACATACCTCGCAGACCGTCGATCTCTTGGCGCAGGCCCAGGATTTCCCTCTGGCGCGCGGCTTCGCGTCTGCCGAGCTCATTCTTGAGGGTGTTGATTTCGCGCATCATGGCCAGCTGCTTCGCCCACAGATCGTTAATCTCGCGCTTCCAGGGCTCTTGCTGAACGGTCGATCGGTCGCTAACTCCGGCGGGCACCGGGGCACCGGCACGAATCTGCGTCGGTAGGACGGGCGTCGACACCTGGCGGCGTAGCATTCGCCCCATGGCAGCAAGCTGGCCTCCTCCGGAGGAGGTAGGAGCAGCGGCTGCTGCGGTGGAGAGGCTCCCTCTCGCGCTCGCCGCCTCTGAACAACTCACAGAATCCGACGGTACTACCGAACCGCTGGGAACCTCGAGCCGCGGCCTCTGCGCTGGGCGCCCATTCGGTTCGCCAGCTGCCGTAGTGCCGGGCAGGGCAGCCTCAACCGCCGCACTTGACATCGAGAAGGATCGCTTCAGGGAAGATCGCCGCGATGGCTCCGGAGGCATGCTTCGCTTCTGCTGGTGCCGCGCACCGGCTCCTTCAGCCTCGTCGGCGTCGTCGGCGTCCGATACGTGCTTCCCCTTCTCGGTGCTCGCTGTCGTCGTCGCATCTTCGCCTTCTCGCCTCCGTTTCCGGTCGACGCTGGTGGTGTGATGATGGTCTCCCTGGCTGCTGCTGCTGCTGTTGTGAGCTTCTGCGGCTGCGGCTGCGGCCGCCGCCTCCACGAGGTCCATTCCCTCGCGGCTCCGGCGCAGGGAATCGTCGCCTCCGCTGCCGCCGGCAGGCGAGGACGGGGAGGGGGAAAGCGATGGGGAAGGCGAGAGACGGTCGGCGCGACTCGTCGTAAGGTGCGGCGTGGAAACGCTGGTCTCCAGGCGCGGCTTCTTGGATGAAGGTGGCTGCGTCATGAGCTGAAGAAGGTTTCGCGCTGAAGTCCTTCCTAGTCGTTCTTCCTTCAGCTCCTGCAGGATCTTGACACGCAGGTCTTGAGGGAAGACGGGCACCTCCTGGAGCCGACTCTCGCGCTCGGATTCGGTCGTGCGGCGCACCGTGTAGAGAGAGGCGTTGTTCGAGTCGGAGAAGCGCGTGCGGCAGTAGACCGAGTCCTTGAACAGCACGCACAGGTACCGCCCAATCAGTGCCTTCGCAAAAACCGACGCTTGTACGTTGTCGGGCTTGTTGACTTCCTTTGTACTCAGCAGTTCCTGCACTATCACGTCCTTCGGCACGCCTCCGCCGCCGCCGGGTGAAGTGGAGCTGCTGCTGCTGCTCTCCGCGCCGGCCTCAGCGCCTCCCTTGTCGTCGAGTGGTGAAAAGTTCACCCAAAGCCACTGATGGATTATGATGGCGCCGCAGAGAGAGAGAGAGAGAGATCCAAAAAGGGAGAAGAGATGCACATCAGCAATCGGCTGGGGTAGGAGAGTAAACACTCTCTTCGCGTCGTTTCGGAACATCACATGATCCAAGATTCAGAGCGATTAACTGGAATTTGATGGTAGTACTCTAAATTCTTCGAAAATCGACGCATCGGGAAAACAAGACAGGAGGATACGGCCCGGTACCTTCCAAAGAAAGGGGAGAGGGATCATAGCCTTGCGCGATGCGCTTACTTCCTCGAAGTTCCTTCTTGGCCACCGCGCGCGTTGGATTCGGGTACACGATTAGGTCGTTGGACCGTCTTTCTTCGAAGCCCGCCACCTTAACCGCTCTTCCAGGAATTGTGGACCGGATTTTTCCCGCCACGAGAAAAGCAAAGCGAGAAACATCGAAAGAAAGTACTAAATAGGCGTTCGCATCGGAACTGATGCGAAAAAGAAAACGAAAACGCGAACAGCTTCACGCTCACACGAGCAACACAGCAGATGGCACAAGTCGAATGTCCAGTTTGCTCGCGTAAGTTTGCAGAAGATGCGATAGAATCGCACGTCATCCAGTGCTTGGACGAACAGCAGTACAAGGAAGATGAAAAGCTGGCCCGGCAACTCGAGCGATCGTCAGATTCTTCTTCCTCCTCCTCCTCTTCTGACTACTCCGGCAGTACCTCTCACTCCTATAAGATTCCAATGGCCATTCCGGTGGCACGTGCGGCCCGCGCTCGCGGCCCAGCAGCAGCTACCGGGTTGGACGTGAACAGACCGCACGACGGCGTGCTTGGCACGTTGAAGACCGACCCCACGAACACGCTGCTGGCCGGGACCGACGCAAAGGAAGCGCTGCTCGAGTTGCTCGAGGAGCGACACCAATTGGGGTACCACCTACTTCTGCGTTCTTCACCATTCCGTGTGCGTGTGTGTGTGGCTAGCCACCTAACGTGTTGTGTGGAATGCGTTTGGAATCATCAGAGAGCTGGAGCTGGTGTATCAGAACTCGGTACACGGTAATAGCTTGGCGACGTTGTATTCGTGCGTAGGCGACCGCAGCCCGCTCATCATTCTGATCGAGGACGCCCATCGGCACTTGTTTGGCTGCTTCCTTACAACCCCGCTAAAGAGCCAAAAGAAGCTGTCTTCCTTTACCGGAACAGGCGAGGTACGCACACCTGATCATAGGCGACCCCCTCCGTTTTTCTATTTTCAAGAGAGTGTTCTGTTGACCCCAAGATCCCTTTCTTCTGTGTGGAACGTCGTCTCGGTTCTTCGTCCTCATTGTGTAGGCTTTCCTGTTCACGCTTCGGCCTGAATGTGAAGCCTTCCGGTGGAGCGGGGTCAATGGCTACTACGTGGCCACCTCTTCGGAATCGATATGCATCGGATGTGGGTACGTGTGAGTACCATCTTGGCTCTGCGCAGCCCGATGTCACGCGCCACTTTTGCTGCATTTACTGGCCATCTCACACATGTTGTGTTTCATATGTGTACACCCACACGCCACACATGCATCACATGTTACGACGTGTGCCAGTGGCGGCGGATTCGGTCTGCGCGTTGGGTTGGAGGGGGACGTGACGCAGGGTGCATCGAGCCCGTGCGAAACCTTCTTCAATCCAACCCTTTCCGGCTCCGAGTTCTTTGATTGTCGAGCCGTCGAGGTGTGGCGGCTCGCCTAGCCTAAGCCTTCTTCACCCAACGAGCCCCGAGGGATCCCCGACTGACGATTTCTCTCTATTTTTCATTTTCATTTTCCGGTCCGGTCTTGGCAAGCAGTCTTGGCTTGCTGGCCACTCATCGATCGGGCAGCTGGGCAGTTTATCCGTTTACCACCCATGGACCACGCCTTGGTTCCCACTACAGACACGCCAATGACGACGGCTCATCCGCCATCGCCCAGCCGTGGTGGACCACCACCACCACCACCAGCTGCCGCACTCACCACAACGGCCACTGCCATCTCAAATGCGCCACCACCTTCATCCTCCCCCTCTCCATCATCCTTGGCGGCCGCAGTGCCGCCGCCTCCCCCACTAGCCTACGCGGACAGCATCGCCCATGTGGGTTCAAAGCGACCTCACTTTGCGCTCTTCTCTGGTGGTGGTGGAGACGTCCCGCCGCAGCCGTCGTCGGCAGTTGCGCCCGGATCGCCGCACCATCAGCCCCCCGCCATCCATTCAGATCATGATTCCTCCGGAGAAGATGTGGAGCAGTTGAAAAGACAACGATTTAGTGGAATGACCGAGGAAGGCGACTTGCCCCACCATCTTCATCACCACGGCCATCTCCATGGCCATCACGGCGCCAACGCTCATTCGCGGCGAGATCCTCCTCGCCATTATCATCATCATCATCCTCATCATCATCCCCACGGAGGAGTACCACCGCCGCCAACGGGCTGCCTCTTTCAAAGCCCGCCCGACCTGGACGAAGAGGAGGAGGTGAGCAAGCTGTGGAGCGAGTACGTGGCCATGGAGACGCGGCGAATAGAGATCTACCACCAGCTCGAGCATCTGGAGGGGCAGGAGGGCCACAATCCGCTCTTCGCGTCGGCCGACTACCGCACCTACAAGGACACCATGCTCAGCGAACTCCCCTTGGCCCACAAGCGCCATCACTACCACCGAAGGCGAAAGTCTGGCGGCAGCCACGCCCCCACCACACGCCTCGCTCGCCGCACTAAGTCTCGCATTCTCGTTACCGAGGTTCGTTGTTGTTGCACCAGCGCCCCCCCCCTTCTCTGTGTGTGTGTTGCTGACTGCTTGTAGCGCCGTGGTGTGGCGTTGTGGCGAGCAGACGATACGGCTGGCGACGCAGCTGACGCCGGAAGCGCAGGCGGGCATGCTGGCAGGACAGCAAAAGATGTTGGGCATCAACAAGGAGCAGCTGTGGGTGGTGTTCGACGCCCTCGTCAACTCCCAACTCCCCGCCAACGAGCGCATCTCACACAGTTCGGCGTTCAAGTACCTCTTCTGCGGCTTGAACTACCTGGGCTACAAGGTGGAGCCGCTCTACGGCAACGAAAGCCTCCACAAGACCACGCGCAAAGGTGGCGGCGTCAAGGTACCACCGAATCGCCCGCCGCCTGGAGTTGGTTGTTGTTTTGATCTCAGAGCTGACCATTGCGCGCATCAAAGCGACTATCCGGGGTCATGTGGCGAGACCTGGACGCACCCGAGTCGAAGGACGTGGTCCGCACCAGTCTGGAGTCACTCCAGTCGTACGGGATCAATGTGGACATGGACAAGTTGCGGCTGTTGTTACAGGCCAACACGGAAGCTGATGCGCTTGCGCCCCACTCGCCGCCCATGCACACCGGTACGTCGCCACCACTTGAACCACATTTCGTACAAGCTACGTGGGCCGGTATAAGAGGCTCACCGCGAAGAGAAGAAACCACAGCTCCCAGCCCGACTTCTCCGCCCGCAGCAGCTGTTCACCAAGGGCACCCTCTTCTCCACCCGACCTCTGCGACAGGTATGTCCCCCCCGCACCGATGCTCTCATGACCCCCCCCCCGGACTGCGCAAGCTCATCTGAGTTATAATGGCCAGGGTCGCCGATGATGTACCCACCGGTCAATGTCCCCATGGCGTTGCCGGTGGCTGTACCGGCGACGAGTCCCGGCCATCCGGCGCGGTCGCCTCTCCAGACTGACGTTGCGCCACCGCATCACCAGCCGCCACAAGATGAGATCGTGGCGCAGGGCACCGCCACAGCTGAAACCCTCTCCGCCGACGAAGATCTCCAGCAGCTCATCAAGCTCATGAGCAAGCACGGCATGATGGAGAAGCTGCAGCTCCTCATGCAGCTCAAGAAACCAGACCACTAGTGCCACCGCCCACGTGGACAACATTTTTTAATTCCAAACTGGACAAATAGGCGAGTTGTTGGGGACAACGAGTACCCGCAGCTCAAGGTGACGGCAGCTCACCAGACGAGAATTGAGCAACACACAACACCGAAGAGGGAGAGAGAGAGAGAGGTGGATAATCTAGATGCAAGGGGGAGGAGCAGGCTGGGCGTGCACCCATTGTCGCGAGCCGCTGGGCGGGTCGGCTTTCCGTGCGCTTGGGCGGGGCTACCACCTGCGCTGCTTTGCCTGTGCAGCGTGCAAGACGCCCCTTCCCGACGGCCGCTTCTTCGCATCTAAGCCCATCCCTCCCGCCACCGACCAGATCCCTCTATGCGGTACCGCATACCTCAAACCTGCTGGAAAAAGAGAGAAGAAAACGACAAATCTCAGAACGAAAGCGAAGGATTGGTGGGGGGGGGATGAAGATTGATCTTTAGCATGCTAATTGGGAGGGAGGAACAGATCAATGCTATGGGAACATGTACCTGCAAAAGTGTCGCAGCTTGTGGAGATTACATAACAGGAAAAGAGGTACGTACCTTGTCACAATGACCCAGAGCTCTGCCAGTGAACTAACTTTGGTGGCCGCTTTGGGTTGTTTGTGGGGGGGGGTTGGGCATCGCTCTCTTAGGCGGTGGTGGCCTGTGGGAGGAGGTTCCACCCCGAGCATTTTGTGTGCGCACTCTGCAAGTGCCCCCTGGGCGCCAAGTTCTACCCACACGAGGGCATGCCCTACTGCCGTCAGGTAGGAAGACAGAACCAACAACGTCTCCTCACGACAAGCTCTCCAATGCCGCCGCCGCTCCTCCTACTCCTCTTTGTTTGTTTGTAGGCACTGACTCCCGGTCATCGGGGCAGGACATTGATGTTGTGACCGGCAGGGTGGCTGGTGCTGGATTGCGACCAGCGGCGCCGCTGCCGCCCGATCCTCAACAACCTCCCTTCTCGCCTCCCTCCGTAGCCCCGGCCTCATCGCCCGTGGTCGCGCCACAGGCTCTCGCCGCGTCCCCGATGGCGCGTCACGAAGGCAATGGCGGCACCTCGTCGTCCACCGGCGATCTCGTGGCCGCAGCTCGGCGCCTCATGCCTCCCCCGTCCTCCCGAGCCGCAAATCCCCGCCGCCAGCACTGGCCCCGACGCCGATGCCACGCCAAAGCCGACTTCGGAGAGCTCACGGCCTCGCTCGCCGCGGCAGCAGTTGCCCAGCGCCCACGCGCCCTCATCCCGCTCCTCGTCCAACCTCGCCCTCCCGCCTCGCCCGCTCAAATCCACCGCCACGCCCCTATCGCGGTCCCAGCCCGAATCTCCCCGCTCGCAGCAGGTGTCGTCATCGCCGGTCGCTTCTCGCTTTCGTGCGCAGAGCGAGGCCGGGTCACCGCCCGCGGTCGCAGCTTCCCCGGCGGCCGCGCAGTCCCGGGTCACATCGCCGCCACAGCGGTTGGCCTCTTCCCCGGTGGTGCCGCGTAAATCGTTCGATGAACCGGCATCGTCCCGCCCGTCACTGTTCGACCTTGGCCTCGTGACCCCGCGATCTCCCGGCGCACCGGTACTGCCCCACGCGCCTTCACCTTGTGCGCGGCCCGTTTTCACCCTTTCCTCCCCGCGTCCACACACCGCCAGGGTCGTATCCGGGTGCGCCCTGAAGACGGCCGTATCCTCCCGCAGCGCAACAGGCGCGCCAGTTTAGACAAGGCACTCGAGCGAAGGTTCGCCATCACATGATCGATCACAACGCGTGAAAATGAACGCTCACAATGATGATCATCATTGGGTTTGCAGTGACAGCAAGACCTGTCTGGAGTGCCTGCAGCAATTTGCGGAGCTCTCGCCGAGCGAGTACGGCAAGGGGCAATGTCCCAGGTGCGAGATTCAGAGAAAGCGGAGCAGCAGCACGGCGGTCCAAGCGCCGATCGTGCTCGAGAGCGCCGACGACTACGATCTGTGGATCGAGCAAGACAAGCTGGCCAAGTTGCAATGGCCCAAGGTACTTGACACTCCTACCGTAGCGCGTGGTGCTTTGGTTCGCTGAAAGAAGGCCTTCTTCGTTGGACGTGTGACGACAGAACGCTGTGGAAGAGGAGGGCTTGGTGCGCGAATGTGGCTACCCCCGAGAGCTGGGGTCCCGCGAAGCGGGCTTGCAGGATGTGGAGTATCGTCACATCGAGCGTGCAGCCCCCTACTACAAGCAGTTCCTCCACGCCCAAGGTAAGTCAGCTGAGCTTATGGACGAGATCGCTTCTCTCTTTGACGACAGAGGAACGCGACGAGCCAAAAAAAAAAAAAAAAAGCGAACGTTAACTTTTTCGCACCAACAACAGAGCACGAGAACTACTTGGTGGGGCTCGAGGAGAGCAAGGAGCCCGGTATCCTCTCGGTAGAGACCACTTCCAGCAAGCGAGTGGGCAAGCAGTTCGTGTACAGAGCGCTTTTGCGAACCGCTCGGGTACCCAGACCGCTTCGTCTCTCCGTGTGTGCGTGTGCGTGTGCGGTGGTGCGTGTGTGTGCTGAGCGCGTGGATGGTACAGGGAGACGAGCGCTTTCTGGTGCAGGGGTCGAAGAACGGCAAGAAGAAGCCCAAGGTCTCCCACATCCGCCGCTCTCACGATGCCCTCAAGCGAGAGAACGTGCCTCTGGTGCAAGTCTCCGACAAGGCCATCGCTAACGATCTGGCACACTTCGAAGACAGGTCGGTCTGCCCCCTCCCCACTTTGTGGCGCGTGCTTGCCCGACGCAGTAGGCTCTAACGTCCTCTGACCAATCGCCCAACGCTACTTCATTTCGTTCCGATTGAACGCTCTGGCTGGCCGATCACAGGATGCGGAACAAGCGGTTTAAGATTGGTGTACTCTACGCCCGGCCTGGACAGACCACCGAGGACGAGATCTACGGCAATGGTGCGTTGTTTTGCTTTCTGCTGCAATTCGCGCCTTTTGTTTGGCCGTCCGCTTCCGTGCCCACTCTTTTTTTAGAACGCGTGTATGTTGATGGCACACGTCGTGCGCCATAGAAACCGGAAGCAAGGCCTTTGACGACTTCCTACTCCTCCTCGGTGAAAAGGTGGAGCTCAAAAGCCACACCAAGTTCGCCGGTGGTTTGCAAACCAAAGGTTCACACGCCTTATCCGTTTTCCCTTGATCACGGTGGCCGCCATCTGCTGAGAACTGTGGCTAACCCGAAGAGGGACGACGTCTCCTTTTCCACAGAGGGTGCGGCGACGGGCAGGCATAGCATCTACACCGAGTTTCAGGGATTGGAGATTATGTTCCACGTTGCCACCTACATCCCTTTCACCCCGGAGGATCGGCAGCAGGTGGAGCGAAAGCGACACATCGGAAACGACATCGTCGTCATTGTCTTTAGAGATGGTACCGCCCCCTCCCCCCTTTACACCCGAGGGTAACGCTCGTATGTCATGTACGGCCAAAAAGCATAACAAGTCTGCGTTTCTTCCACCTGTCAGGAACGGACGGCAATGATGGCTTCAGCGCGGCGAACATATCGTCGCACTTCAACCACACATTCGTGGTGGTCGAACCGGTGCAGGGCTCATCTCCTCTCGCCTACAAGTACTTCCCGCGTCCCCCCCCCAGCTAGACACACGCATTGCATCCGCCAGCTCTACACCGTGATCTATAGATCATGACGCAGACTGACGCAGTTCACCGCGTGTGTGTTAGGGTGGGTCTGGTGTACAAATCCGGGGTGCGGCCGAGCAAGCCATTCCTTCCCTTCCCACCCACATTTCAAGCCAATGACACGTTCCGCCAGTGGATGCTAACCAAACGTACGTCGCCTCGCAATGCATTTCCAGGGTAGGCCACTCACTCCTCACCTCAACACCTCAACCCCCCTTTTTCACTTCCCGTGGGCAGTGATCAATGCGGAGATCTCTTCCCTTCACTCGCCTGAGTTCCTCTCGGTCCTTCGACGCACCAGACGGGAGCTGCTCCGCGAGATCGTTGGGCGATATGATGCCAAGCTGCTTAAGGTGGCTGTGTGATGCGTGACACGAAAGTATCAAACAAAGCCATAAACTGGTCCAATATAGATTGCAATGCAACCAGCCCCAACTAGGCAGACCACCCCCAGCCCATGTTCGACCTCCTGGCGTGCCCCTACGCACGATATGTGGCCCGCACGGAAGAAGACCAAAATCAGGACTTCTTCTGGGACATTAACGCCATTCGCTGGCTCCACGAACGCGGATGCCCACCCGCTGCACACCCACCCATACACATCCCTTTCAGAACCACACATGTCGTGTGCGTTGTGCGTGTGCCATGCGTGCGGTGCGTGCGGTGCGCGCGTGTCCACCCGCCTACCCAATCTCTAAGACGGCCGGTGGATAACCGAAATAAAACCTGCCAATGCCCACTTCCTCTTTCTCCTCTTCTTTGCGTCGACGTTCCGGTATTTCTTGAACACGGAGGTTGGAGCCTGGCTGCCATTGGCCCATACTTGGAATGACAAGAATGTAGCATCATTTTAGCTCCGAGGTCCAGGTCGGCTTGTACCTCGTTCAACTAACGGTTGGCTCTCGGGGCCTCATAAGCTTGTCCTCGTGTCATTAGAAAAAAAGAAGGATTCGAGAAGATGAAGATGTGGGAGAGGCGACACTTCTTGCTCTTCTTTTTGGTTGCTCTGAGTCTTACTCTCTTCATCTACCTTTCCCCGCTCTACAGCCAACTGCAACTTTCTTCTTCTCCTTCCCCTTTTTCTTCTTCTTCTTCTTCGCCTTCACCCACAGCTTCGCGCCAGACCACCACCGGTCGTGGTGAGTGGCGCAACACCTGCCTGCTGACAGTCACCACCAAACAGAACAACACGTGCGTTGATGGTGGCACACGAAGGCACGAAGTGGCCTTGGCCTCCGGCGCGGCCTGCTTGGGCCAGGCACTCACCAGCGCAGACCACCAGGTCGTGGCCTCCCACATGTTCAGCGAGGCCGAGCTGAGGGAGCAGTTCACGGTGGTGATCCTCACCATGGCCAAGAGGGTGAAGATGCTGAACCGGGTGCTGCGCGAGTACGACGGGCTGCCGGCGATTGCCGAGATCATCGTGGTGATGAACGGCCTGAACGAGAGCCACGTGAGCAGCCGCTTGGGCGTGACCAAGACGCCCATCTCCTTCGTCAACAACTCCATCAACTCACTCAACATCCGGTAAGTGTGGCCACACCTACACTCGCACGCGCACACGACACACACAGGCCGCCCCCCACGACACGTACACGTTCCATTTTTTTTTAGGTATTTTCTTCTTCTGCTATGACTCATTACTGGCGCGGCGCACCAGGTTCGCCGTGGTAGACCGAGTGAAGACGGAAGCGGTGCTGTCCAACGACGACGACCTCTTCTACACCCCCGAAAGCGCCGAGTACCTCTTTCGGGTGCACACCACAACTGACACTCACCACGCCCGCACGCCTGCACGCACGCACGCACTGTTGACAGTTCGTGATCATTGGCGTGGTGCGCATTTGTCAGATCTGGCAGAGGCACCGCCGGTCGATCGTTGGCGACTCCCCTCGTTTCAGCGGTGATGGCACCTACGAGTTCGATGGTCACCCGTGTCTCAAC